ATATATGTATGTAAATACATACATTTATATAGATAAATCTTGTAAAATAATTTAGAGTTACTTCAAGAGGTACGTACAGTAGGTACGTGTATAGGTATTCATCTTTATCCAGATATGTGTTTTAGTTGTCGGACGATACTGTTACATAGATAGCCAGGCGTACGTGAAGGTATGAATATTTAGCAGAGGTGCCTATAACATTGTACACGTATATAGGGAGTGAGAGGTGGATGTGCTAGTCTGTATATACGTGTTGTTACATATATATATCGATATAGTTGTTTACTTAAATATATCTACCTATACATGAATATGTATAGAGGCGTAAGCTAGATATACATATTATATGGGTACAAAGGTATATATGTACAACCTGGTATTCCAGTGGACTTGTCTTGACACGAAATACATCTATATGCGTGAAAACAGGCATTGTACTATTAGGTTTCGTTTATAGCATTACTTCTACGTGCTGTGGTGTGATGCTGACACGCCCATGGGCACTATAAATGCACCGTACGGCATATCTCGCGAATTAACACCAATGAAACGCTACAATATGTGGTTATTTATACGCAGGTGTGTGTATGCATACATATATCAATATCTACATCATACATATATACACGTACATATAGATACATACGTGTATGTGTTCATTGGATATATGTATACATGTACATGCTCGAGTATATATGTATACCTACCAGCGTACATCTAGTCGAGTATGTTATATTCAAATAGATATGTGTGGATAAGTACGCCCACATCATATATATAGGTGTGGGTGGATGTATGTATATGTTAGGTCTAGACATGAGGGGCGATGTGATTCGTTAGGAGGCGAGTCCGTTGATGTAAACATAGGTGAATAAGCTTTTGTAAATGAACGTGTTGATATGGAAGCATATAACTTAGATGATATATATATATATATATATACTATAGTTGTATGCGTACTTATACATGTAGATGTGTGCGTGTGTTTAGGTAAATAAACAAACAGATGTGTGTACACCTATGTGATGATGTGGATGAGAAAGACAGATATACATGTACAAGAATAGGATATCAGCACCGGTCCCACGAAGATCACCGTACCTAATACGGTAAGGGGGTTGCACGTTCAAGCTGTATGTTGCCGAACCGCATACTGTATCCGTAGGTGATACAAGAGTGTATCAATTCTTGCCAAGTTATCCACAGTACATATTAATGGTTGTTAAGCGACACATTGGTGTCGTTCTATATCCCGGTGCAATGCCGCACTAAGGTGCAATACAACATTGTGAAATGATATGCTGCGCTGTAATGCCACATATCTATAGACTGTGAAACACTGGCTCCACGTCGAGTCTCGTGGTGGAGAAAAATTGCTTGGATTCATAGTATGTCACGAGGAGGCGGGTGTAGACTCCTTGTTGTCTACGTATACGATCAACCCGTAGTCTTCGTTTGAGTTCCCACGGTGTAATGTTGCTATAGGTATTTTGGTTCCTGCGACCGCTGTTGAGACAAGCTGCGGGAGAGTGCATTTGACTAGCAAGCAATCAATGGACATAAATATGCACACGCGGTGGGAACTCTCGTCGTCCGATAAATATCGGTTGAACTACAGATGAGTTACATAGGTGTAAGGTAGCATTATTACCCGGGGTATGTTTCCGTGTGCGAGTTGACTCTTGTAACGCTATAATGTTACATCTTCTTTC